TTTGCTTGCCTATGAGGAACACATGACTTCAATTGGACCAGAATATTAGCCTATCATATTGTTATCTGAGAATGTCTGATAGCTATTAGAACATCAATGACGGTGTGAAGTTGATGGGATCTCATAAAATAAAATACCAAGCGAGTCTTGGCTTTTATTAGGAATAGATTGAAAATCTGCGGCGGTTGCCCTGCCCTTTTTGCATTCCTCGGCGACCGTTGATGATAAGGTAAAATAATACGTGTTGGATCTAATAAGTGTTATGTGTTACACATGGTTCTTATCAAGGAAGTAAAAAAGTTCAAAAAAATTTCTTGTTGAACATCTCAAAGATAGTTACTTCATTGTATCTATTAGAAAAAAATACCTGAAGATAGTACTTTGAAACCTCCATTTGATATTCTAGTTAATGAGTAGAAAATTGATCTTGAGCATTAAAAAAATCCCTATATGTTAAGAAAAAAAATCCAAGCCTTCAATGAAAAAAACATACATCAAATATACAAAACAAAATAATTTACAATTGGTGGGTTACTCCATATCAATAAGAGTTGGAATTTGTGATTGTTGTTATATTTTGAGAACATTAATTGATGATAATCTTTAGGAGTGGAAACACTTGTGAATCCCTACTAAATACATTTATTTCGATAAAACCTCGGACTGCACTTTAGTCCATGGTCAGCCATGCTCACTACAAGTTTTTGTAAAGTGTACGTGATATCAAAAGTGCCGTTCATAGTTTAACAAAGTGATAGTTTTAATTGGAAATATTAACAAAAGAAAATTATGTTGAGGAGTTTTGTCAATATATGATGAATTTATATTTCTAGTTTACCGCAATAGCTTTCTAGTATACTTTGTTCATGGCGCATCAACCTAGAGCATGAAATTTGCGAATATCATTTCTTGCGAGTTGACAATTCTAGTTTACCGTAGTTACTTCCTAGTAGCTTCTTGCATTGTTGCATAAATCCAGAGCATCAAATTTGTAATTATCACTTCTGGCATCTCCAGTTGTTGTGTTCTTCTGACACAATTGACTGCAATGGATTGTATTTTTCCCGATACATTGAATCATTATCTGTACTCAAGGGCACAAATTGACTTGAAAAACATGGATGTTGGACACATGAGCAAACCAGCTACAAGAATTCGCAAGTGACGGCGGTTTGTGAAGACGACTGGATCCATCGAATAAAATGAATTGTTCCAGCCTACGCAAGTGGTATAAGTTTCGGAGGATTCCCATCAAGTAATATTCTCTTTTATTTTAGTAATGAAAGCATTTCAGCCGCATCGATACTATTGGAAACATGTCTTCCGTATGCATGATATGAGAAACGTTAAATCTAAATCTCTTTCACAATGCCACGAGGAATAAATAGAATAATGCAATTATTTAGTTAGGTATGCTTTGTTGATTTGATGAATAATTATACATTAGTGACAGTTCATTTCTATCAGAAATCATGTATCACAATCTTATTCTTCTCTACTATTCATTGATAACAATGCATACCATCATTTTTATTCCATGTGAGCTATTCATCATCAAAGATTATCACATAATATGTCATAATGACATCTTGAAGCGATATAAGAAGTTGGTCGAATGTAGTTGAATCATGTAAAATTCTGTTACATTTATATTTGTAAACTAATCCACTTGTAAGCAATGAAGACATGGATGGATAAATTTAAAGTGAAATAAATATTTTAGTTTTGAAATCAATGATGTGTGACAATTAAAATTGCATGAGTTTTCCAAGAGATTAAACATTCGAGGTATTAGTTTGCTGCAATTTTTTTCTGATCAAAATTTATAAGTAATCAATTTTAAATGATAATATATGATGTTAAATCTTACATACAAATAATCAATGTCAATTAATATTTACATATTTTGTTAGAAGTATTACTACCCACTACTTCTCCTCCGTACACTGGTGACAAAGTACACTGGTGACAAAGAACGTGTGTACTTTCTATTATAGTTAGTGGTCGTGACTAAGTGTCACGACCATTGTCACGGTCACGACCAACCGCTGTGTTTATTAGAATTTAGGGTCCTGTATCTCTCGGATTGGGTATATTACCCCTATTCGAATTCATTCTCCAATAACACACTATTCATACTTCACCAGAACTCAATGCCTGTGTGAGCTGACCTATCTAATATGGTATTAGAGCACACTTTGTTTTTTGACTCTTGATAGTTTCTTCTCTGCAGCTGCATCTTCTTTCTGAACGCGTTCACTATACTGTCTGAGTTCTGCACTTGTACATATTGTTGCAAACGCTGGAGATTTTGTTGGGCGATATTCAGTGCATCTAGTGTCGAATTGAAGGGGGAATACGAAAATTTCTTGCTTTCTTGAAGTTTCAAGAACTTTTACTACATTTCAAGAGCCGTGTTTCAAGAATTGTGAATGTGTTCTATGAAGATGACATTTCTAGGTACGTATGGAAAGATTCACTGCCCAACTTTAATGGGGAGCACTTTCATTCTTGGAAGAACCAGATGGGTTGGATACTTCGAGTTGAAGGACCAATGGACATTCTGGAGAGTAAGGAGATCCAGCCAACCACTCCTCCTGGATTTAAAACCTGTACACCGGCTTCAGGAACAGGGAGTAAGAAGTAATGGGACGACAGAAATCTCCTAACCATGACATTGTTGAACAATTCGCTTGAGGATTATCAACAACCACATATTGCTCGCTGTGAAACAGCAACAAAGGCGTGGAGAGAACTACAGAGAGTTTATGAGTCACATGACATCTCCAAGCAGATGCATATCCAAGACATGATATATCCTTCATTCAAGGATTGACTTGTTCTTACTGCAGATTGCATTTACCAGGGCTAATGCAGATCAGAATGTTTACATTTACTCTCAAAAGAATACATTTGTGTATTTAGCACTGTATGTGAATGACTGTATACTAGCAAGCGATTCCTTGCGTCTCCTCACAAAGATCAAGGAGAAACTTAAAACGGAGTTCAAAATGATGGACTTAGAAGAGATCCATCATTGCCTTGGTATGCAAGTTGACAGAATTCGTGAAGAAGGGTGGATTCGGATCTCCCAACCACGATATTTGGTTGAAAAGCTTGAGAGATTCAACATGGCTGACTATAAGCCTATTGATAAACCTATGGAACCCAGTTTGAAGTTAAGTGTGCTTGACTCTCTCAATTCAGTGGAAGAAAGCGAAGAGGTGAAAGATATTCCATATCAAGCTGCTGTTGGGAGCTTGATGTGAGTTGTGGTCTGCACTAGACCCGATATATCTTTTGCTGTCAGTTTTGTGGCTCAGTTAATGTCAAATCCTGGATTGACACATTGGAAGGCAGTTAAGAGGATTTTCAGATATCTCAAAGGAACTCTCGACTTTGGCCTTGTGTTCACGAGGGTCGACAAACCATCCGGTTTAACTAGATTTTCCGATGCGGACTAGGGTGGTTGCCTTGACACGAGACGATCTACGTCTGGATATTGTTTCCAACTCAATGGCAGAACCATTAGTTGGACATCGAAGAAACAAAAGTCATCAGCGCTTTGTTCTACAGAAGTTGAGTACACGGTTTTGTCCAAGGCTGGGGCTGAAGCTATGTGGTTAAGACTATCTACATTTTGAGCTAGAGTCGGCCACTATTTTCTCTGTGACAACCAAAGTGCTATCTCACACATTGAGAACCATAAAGTTTAACCACAAGAGATCTAAGCATATTGACATTAGATATCATTTTGTCAAAGATCTGGTCACCAGTAATTTGGGGAAGTTAGTTTTATCTTGCAACTGAAGAGATGATTGCTGATATTATGACAAAACCATTAACTAGAGAAAATCAATGGTATCATACTCAGAATTTAGGTTTATTAGTTGAAAATGAAGAAGAGCGAAGTAAATAGATAGTAAGTGGGAGTGTTAGAAGTATTACTACCCACTACTTCTACTCCGTACACTAGTGACAAAGAACCTGTGTACTTTGTATCATAAGAACATGTGTACTTTGTATTATAGTTAGTGGTCGTAACGAAGTGTCACCATCATTGTCACGACCAGCAGCTGTGTCCATTAGGGTTTAGGGTCGTGTATCTCTCGGATTGGATATATTATCCCTCATCCGAGTTCACTCCCCAATAACACACTATTAATACCTCACCTGTGTCCATTAGGGTTTAGGGTCCTCTATCTCTCGGATTGGATATATTATTCCCCATCTGAGTTCACTCCCCAATAACACACTATCCATACCTCACCTGTGTGGACTGATCTCTCTAATATATTTCAATATCAAATATTATTTGGTATTAATTGAAACAATGATGTAAGATTTGTTGAAATAGTGTTACATAAAATATCGCATATTGCACCGTGATATAATTAATGTTGGCAAACTTTTCTGACAAATCTTGCATTTTCAAATGTCCAAGTTTCTTTTCTAAAAGCACTATGAAAATCTTTCAATTATATTCAAGATTTGAATGATACTGAATTATAAAAATCTAAATGGTTGAATATTGATTAGACCTCGGGTCTTGTTAACCAGACGAAAGAGCCTATCGATGCATTGCAAAAGTATCATTAATTTAGTGTCCACTAGCTCAACACAGTTTCGAACAATAGAGTTCGAAACTGTGTTGATTTAGATGACAGCATATAAGCAGGGGCGGAGCCACAGGGGGGGGCAGGGGGGGGGCATGCCCCCACCTGCCCAGGAAGGGTCTACACAGATTGTGAGTTACAGAATGTGAAAACGAGGTCGAGAAAAAATTTTAATTGGAAATTGGCGGGTAGCCCCCCCTAAGACTAACTACGAAACAGAGACGGATCAAATACTGCGTAAAAGTAATTGCAACCGAAAACTGTGTTTATGTGTATTTCGTCTATACAGAAATTCGAAACAACCACGTGATATTGTAACTAGCAAGGGGGCGGAACACGCATCAAAACTGCAGAGAAAATGACTCAAGGATAGAAACTCAAGGGCCGAAAGCAAAAAGTTTCCAGCATAGGCACAAAGCGCAAACTGAAAAAGTGTTAATTTCCTGAGTGAGCGAAAAGCTCGAGCAGTACAACAAGTAGCGTATACTCTATACACGGATCACCTTGTAGCTATCAAGAAACAATTACTCGAAGCAACTTAAACCACAGGGAGGATAAACTGCTCTGCAAAAAAATTATGACGTCCTTAGCGTCCATCACGGTGTCGAAATCAGCTGGGTAGAAGAGTCAATACCCAACGTCCCTAGATTCTGATATTATTTAACCCAACGTCAAAAGAGGCCAAGGATATATCAAGAATCATCATTTCCTCACTAGACTTCTTTAAAGCTTATGTGTCGACGTAGATGAGCTTCCACGAAGTACAAATTTAGTTACAATACAAAGTAAAGAGCGTGCAAGTTCGAACTCTATAACGCTGCGCCTCTCGCATTCCGTACAAGTCTCAGGAAGGTGGGGGTTGTTGCCTATTTTGGCCAAAATTTGATTGTGTTGCGTTGTTGAACATGTTCATATAATTTGGCTGATTCCCGAGTTGCTGTTGCATTGGCAAACCCAAGGTGGACGTGCCTTGAGCCATTTGAGTTCCAGCTCCGATATACACTGCATACAAATGTAGTGATTACTGAGTTTCAAATGACAAAAGTCGAAGACGGATGACTGGCTAAGACGTTCGTGGACAAGCAAAGAACCATATAATAAAATAAGATGTACTTACTAGAGTCTGTAAGCATCTGTGATGAAACGTTTCGCTGAGGTTGATTCGCGGAAATCTGATTGGTTGACATATTCCCCTGCTGAAACTGGCATATATAGAATGTCCAGCATGATCAAGTAAGAGCACCCACTATATTAGCGGTAAGAATTAGACTGAATGTCCATTGAAGACTCAAAACTTATAACTTATTCGACCAGTCTTCTTTTCAAACCAGATTTAACATCGACAACATCCAAATGGTTTCCGATACCTTTTCATGTCCCATATACCAGTTTTTTGGTATTTTCATTGGAGAAAGGCAGTACTCAATGTATGCAAGCCCGACGTGCTGAATCTAAGTAATGAAGAACGATCTTAATTGTACTCTTTGTTAATTTCTGTCAGGCTGAAGACAAGAGACCCTGCCCCATGGCTTAGCGGTGCTATCAGAAACACACTGAGAAAAGGAAGCAAGATGGGATAAATAGTGAGGGGAAAAGTATCTGAGAGTGGACCTCTCTTTGAAAGCTTCTTCCTATTCATTAGGTTCTTTCAGAGCTTCTTGGTGTCAATAGAGAAAACATTCACTACCTCATCAACCTTGTAGGTTTGTTCGTCCTAACAAGAATGACTGGAAAAGAGCAGCGGCTTGGAATGAAGGCTTGTACATTGCGGACATGCTTCTGGTCCCCCCAGCTGAGCTAGTTCGTTGTATAGTATCGCAGTCATTTTATGATAGTTGCTGCAAGTAACCAGATTCTATACAGTGGTTTCGTCCTCTATATTAAAGTAATTGGGTGGGAAGTGCGAAATACAGATATAAAGTAAACTACTACATAACGGTGAAGAACAAAACTGGGAAGAAGAACACACGTACAGACAGTTCAAATTTCCGAGAGGTACATACCATGTTAGATGTTAGAAGGCTATTAGTTCCTCCCCCGTAGAGCGAAGTCATGGAGTTCGCCAAGGGGCCCATTTGAGGTCGAACTTGGTTTCCTTGCTGCAGAGTGTTTGACGTTATCATCGGCGATGCTGTCTGCAGTTGCTGCAAGTTTTGTTGTTGTTGTTGCTGTGCTTGTAGATGTTGGAGGGAATGGCGATCCTTTATGACAAGAGAAAAAGTTACGGCTGAAGTTTAATGTAACTTCGGTGATGTCTTCAATTCAAAAAAATCAGTTTCAGCTAACTGAAAAATGAGTTTCAGCTACAAACAATGCCTCTTTGAATGGTATATGGCACTTCACAAGACAGATTTGCTGGAACACACCTGCTGAGCTTGCAATTGCTGCTGAATTTGGGCCTGTTGTTGCTGAGCCTGATGTTGTTGCAACTGCTGCAAATGATTTTGCTGACGATTATGCACTCGTCAGACTCTCACGGAGGTCACATTCTATCACAAATTAAGTGCATCCACCAGTAATACAATTACGGTGCCAGAACTTACTTGAGTTTCAACTACTACTTTCTCGATTATCCTTCGAGCAAAACACACAGACTTGCAATGATATTAACATACATACTATTCACCACAATACTATATCAAATACTTTTACAACCGACCTGTTGCAGATGATGCAGTTTCTGCTGCTGTTGTTGATGTAATAAAGGCTGTGCAACTTGCGCTTGGGGCTGAACTCCTACCTGTGCGGCATGAAGCACCAAATCACCAATTTTGAGACATCTGCAATATTAACTCTTCTGAGGCCAATGTAATTTATGAAGAACAAGTTCTAAATGTGCAACCGAACATATTTTTCACAGGTTCACACAAAATAAAAAGAATTTAACAGGCAATTATAAAGGCCTTGGATAAGGTTAGAGGGAGGCCCAGCTTTAAAGGTAACGAATTTATGAAAGTAATCAGCGATGTATAAATACTATGATGCTAGTTACAAAGAATCTTCAGAGAACTAAACGCACGACGGCCCATTCACCAGGCATATATTGTAAGGCGAGGTTATAGTACCGGCCTCGATAAAAAGAGACCGTGGAAGACAAACACTGATGTCAGCATTAAGTAACACATTCTGAAAGATATCACAAGTAAGGAACGAAATTCAAGACACCAAATGTAGTAAAGATAAAACAGAGGCGATGAAGAACTGTAACGACGTTTAAAATTTCCACAAATCTTGCAGCGACATCCAGTATAGATGTGTATAGTGCCCTCAGCAGTCCAGACACCGGATTCCAGTGACTTCATGGGCGTTCCATTTTGCGAACGTTGAAGTTTACATCCAACGTTTGCAAAATCGAACAGTAAAAAAGATGGCGAGCGGGGTGGTTGGCAAAGCAAGTAGAAGAAGAGGTAGGCGCATGTAGGAAACAAGGTAGGGTTTAGAAATGTGGAATAGTGGAACTAAAAGAGAAGAAAGTGCGAGAAATGCTGAATGGAAGCTATGCGAATCATAACAAGTAACTTGCAGTACAAACTATGAGCTTTTATCGTGGCAGATAATTCGCTTTGAATTTGATTGATCACAGTCAACAACTTTTACTAAACAAGTTTTCGTATTCAGACAAGAGGCAAGGAAGGAGTACAAACTAGTCTTGTTCCATTGTTGAGACTCGTGTAACTGCAGTTTCGTATTGCTGGAACATATAGACGTGGGAATGACGGTAATCTAACCTGGGGAATAGGAGGTGTAGCAGGTCTCCTTAGTTGCTGCTGCTGCTGTTGTTGTTGCTGTTGTTGCTGCTGTTGCTGCTGCTGCTGCAAATGTGCCTGTTGTTGCTGCTGCTGCTGCTGTCTCACTAGGTTCTGTTGATTCCTCATTTTTTGTAAATATGCAAGTTGTGACTGCTGGGCTTGTTGTTGCTGTGGTGAAGGCACATTGAAGTTTGTGCCAGTAGACCTTGGAGAATTGACAAAAGGTGCTGGGGAGGGAGATGCAGCGGAAACACCTGCAGCAATCTGCTGTGATGGAGTCTGAACACGGGCTGTAACCTGAGGTACAGAACTTTGCTGTATGGAGCCAATGAATTTTGTCAAATATTCGGAACTTAAGAATAACTCACATGAAGAAGACATTCAAATTTGATAGCCAAGTTAAAATGCTTCGGACCTGAGGTGTAGCAGCTGATCGAACAAGACCGGTTGGAGGTAAAACAGGTGCCGCAGATGTCTTCACGAATCCTGGTAAATTACATTATCCTCTTTTGTAAGATATATAGTTTCAGGTCGGCAAGATGGACAGAATACAGCTGCTAAGCGGGCCGTAAATAAAACAATTCCACTAGCATTTTGAATGTTACCTTGCTTAATACTGTGGCCTTTATTATTCTAACGTTACATACATAATATGAGTGTGTCCAGTCAGTTGGTTTTCATACAAAGTAAAGCAACAACTGTGTGGTCAATATACGAGCTTCAAAACAATTACACAGATAAAAAACAGAAGAATTGAAAACGATATCATGATACTTCTTACTAATAAAATTCTTCCCAGTTAGTTTTGGTTGCTCTCGGTATACACATGCCAAAAGTCCCGTTTACTGTAGTCTTGATTATCCTAGTGTTTTTTGATACTTTCCGCTTTGCTTGTACACTAGTTCTTAACTTCTTTTCTATGTTTTTTTCTTGGTTGTGTACGTCAGAGCGTTTTCATTTTCGTTCTTCGTGATAATCTCATGCATGGGGATACTAGTTAACTGAGATATGTAGCTTGGTAGGCATTTGCTCGAATAGAGTTTCTCGTTTGTTCCCATATACAATCATGATGTTAGTATAAATGAGTCTCATAAGTTCATTGAAAGTTCCCGATTTCTTATTTCTCCTGCCCATGACCCTAATCAACGGATGCATTATCCCATCCCCGACTTCTTTTATCGAGATTTCATTATGTTCCAAGTACTATTCTTGATTGCCATTGTTCGCATCTTCAGCTAACAAATTATTTATCTAGATTATTCAATCAATGACGAACAAGTCAATAGACAAGTGAAAGAACAAGAAAATAGGACAATGCAAGAGTGTTTGACCATTTGCGTATGTAACACAATTGCTGTTTGGACGCTATTTAACTTGCACCGGAAATTGTGCAGTCAGTATGTGAAAGACTTATGAAGAAAAGTAAAAAGTCCCAAGTACCTCCATCAGGGAATCCTGTACGCCCATCTCCTGGAGTGGGCAACACAGATGCCAAGTGCGGTGGAAGAACTGTTGTCTGCTGTTGCTGATCTGATGACGACGACCTCAGCCCTACGTTTTAGCCACAGATATCAGCATATTGTGTTCAAAGCTTCACTTTGACTTTCTGCAGTCCCTTACTTCACCTCATGATGAATGCATTCTTAGGTGATAAACATTATCTGCTTGTCATAAATCCAGACTGAATGCATGTACATTTACGAAAAACCAAAACGGTGACCCAAAAAGGGTGATGTATTCATTCCAAAGGATGTAGATGAGGAGCAAAAAGATGCATTTGACAATAAGCAATTATACGTTCTCCAGTAACAAACTTTTGGACAACTCAGAAATCGGGACCGCTGTGCAAAAAATAGTCACGCCGACCAGAAGGATCACCAAACAAGAAACACGATGATCGTCGCCCAAGGGGAGCTGGACGAAGAGCAAAACTACCCTCAATTTTCTACCGGAAGGTTACTGGATCGCAATGAGTATCAAACTCACATTCAGGTTGTCTAGCAGTGAAACATCGGACGAATATGTGAGAGCAGGACTCGCTGCATCTTGTGGCCTAAATCGATCCATCGACCATCTCGCACACAAAACGAGTCAATTGCTCAATTCATTTAACCTACCTTCACCATAATTGGTTGCTACTCGTAGCTGTTTCTCTTGCTCTGCGATTCGAGCTACGTTAAGCTTGTCTAAAGTAGCAAGAGCAACAGGTCCTTGTCGAGTTCCCAGTCCATAAACCTTTCGTGCCTCTGTGATGACCTTCTCAGCAAGGTCACATGCAGAACGAACTGATTCTATTTGCCTCTGGATAGAAAGAAGCCCAGGAGGCACATCAGAAGCAGAATTCTCGCTATTTGGTAGCGTTCCATGAGAAACACAACAGAGATTTCGCTGCTACCTTCAAATCTTATCATAACAGATAAAAGAAGTTTAATAGAAATACAGTTCTATGGTATTAAAGACTATATATCAGTTAAATAACATAAGTTCTGCGTACTGCCACCGAATCAAAAAGCTTGGAAGTGATGCCCATGTTGAAAGCTGAAATACAAGATTTCTAAGGGAACTCCGTCTACTTTCGACGAGAAGTTATAAACGGCACCTCATAGCATACTCTTCAATCGTAATATGTAGCAATTGTACTTGGATTAGACTATTCGACTCCTGTACCTGCAGATTCTCAGACTGGGCAGTCATACTGAAATTCGATATATTGGATAATATCTTGTCTTTCAGGGTCGCTTCCTCTGCTTCCATTTCCGGTAGAAGCTTTGATGACAACATGATGGGCAGAACTGCATATCAACAATTCATGCTATCATTCAGTTCAAACCAAGTAGCCAAACGCTGCTAGGACCACTCTTGAAACGTACTTAGTAGGCGAAAGGCTGTTAAATTCACAATACTGCTATTTCTCCACTTACTTGGCGCATTTTCAGCATTGACAGTTTTAGGATAGACCACAAACATTTTCAGGATGGGTTTTACATCATCAATAAGGTTCAGCAACTCCACGTTCACCATCGCAAATTGGCCGAGCACCTCCGACCTGAGAAGGTATGTGCTTAACAATCAGCGTATGAACCTTCAGAAAAGGACAAGAACGGGCAGAACCGCAATTGATGATTACGACAGCCATTCCAATAAAAAGACGAGAAGATGATTTGTAGACAACAAACCATTTGAGAGAGGGATTGGTGTGAAAAGTGTGAAGGATGCGTCCTATTGCATTGTGAAGATCTTGAGTTCGTGTCCTCAGTGACGCCAAATTCAGCTGCTGCAAGACTGGGGCTAAACTTTCCTTCCCTGGAGGCTGACTCTGACCCTGAGGCTGTAACATATGCTGCCCCTGCGCTTGAGTTGCCATCTCCCGTACTGTCCAATTTGCAATCAATATCCGAGACTACAGCTTGAACACAAGTTATGATACCACTAAATTCTCGATTGACCTATGAATGTGGGCTTCGTGAGAAACATGACCACTGGTGGATCTTCGCAACGAACGCGTCTCAATCACATGCACTTAATAGAAGGGCTCCTGCCGACGCCGCCCGATAAATTCTTGGTGAGTGGAGGGGATCTGACACATAAAGCGCTACATACTTCAGTATATTACATCAAGGGTCACAGTCGGTTCAGTGACTCTGCCAATCATGAGGTTAAGAGACTGAAAAGACAACCAAATTTGTCATAATTTGTATCACATGTCAAGCTCAGAACAGTCAAGAAGAAGAGCCGACACAAGCAATTCGTCAGCTTCAGAGGTGCACAAAACCTGAACTCGTGGCGTATGAAAGAAAAAACTCTTACTATTACATGTCTTCTATGTACATTAATCCAAATTGACTACCTCCAACTTTTGCTAAAGCTTGCTCTCGTTTAACCAACTCAACATTTCCAGCATCTATCTGTCTTTCATTTCCGCCAATCCAGCATGTATCCAACAAGTTCAGGCCCTAATATGCACTCATGAGAGCAAAAACAACTCGAAGAAGCCTGACGCGGAGAATTCCGCACAACGGCTGCTGTTCAAAATCACATCCCATGCTTCTCTCACGGACTGCATTCTTTGAGAAAAAAAGGGAATACGGTCGCAGCACGAGGAAGAGTCCAAATTGACGTCCAACTGTACGTAGACTTCAGCCCCACCTCCCTCCGACTAGACTATACTCTACGTAGCATTCTCTCCTTTGTTGCAAGAATGATCGAATGTCTAGTTCCCACCATTCACTTTGTCGTGTATTTATTACAGCTTCCCGATTAATTCGATTACTTACAGTAATTGTTAATACTGCATTTTCTTGGATGCAACAGGTGTGATGACTATCAGCACATTTCCGATCGGGTGATTATCATGGAGCAACTTTTGTGCTGAACACTTTGCTACTTGGAATTATGAAATCAAACTTTAGGATGGTTATTTCTTTAGCTTATGATGTAATTTATTACAGACAAGGTTTATATATAAACATAACACTTATGTTGTAAATGTGATGACATTATTAGGTGTTCATTCTTTGGGTTTTCATCTTGTTTATAGCGCTTTTCACCGCTCTAGTTAGATTACATTAGATGAAGTAGAACATTACATAACATGAAACCTGATTGCAAGTAAGCCAGTAGGTATTATTCTTCCGGCTTGGTGTATATTCTAATCTTTTTCTTATATTCTTTGACGTTTTTTTTACTTCAGTCTTTCATTTTTAATAATCAGTAATCGAATGGGGCCAGTAGCATCTAGTCCTTGATTTCGTCCATGGAATATTGTGATGTCTATTTCCATAGCCTTTGCTATCTTACTTACTTGTCTCTATCATGCTATGTATAAAATGAAGTAAATTATCACTACTATTATGATACATATTCTGAACATAATCTTAAAATCTTCAACTATTTATTTATTGACGCACTACTTTGGATTGTATAATTGCAGTAGAAATCTTCTAAACTAATATCCTTGGGACCGGATGCTTGGTATCTGTTTAGAGGGGTTATAACATAAGAGAGGTAGGGGAAAAACAGCGAACAGATGCTAAATAATGTAACTATGATATGATAGTAAACACGTGGCTTTCTTTTACTTTTGAGTAAGATGAATATAAAACTCACATCTGGCCATGCCGGACACTCAGCTCGTGGTACCTCTACATTCGTAACACAACCCATACCTCTTGCATGACAGGCACCAAAAATGTCACAGAAAGTATTACAACTAGTGATGTGTACATATTTAACCAGATTATTATACATAGAATATAATATAGTATAATACAGGGCTTAAAAAACCATCTGTATTTTATTGTATTAAATTGAATTTTACAAAGACTATGAATGAATCTTACAAAAGTTTTCAGAATGATCGAGAGTACTTTACAATGCTACGTTATCAATAGATCAAAGTATACCAATGAAATATGTCACTATAGTCATACTTTTGAGTCTACGATTATTTTTTCCGTGAAATATTTCGTGTACATTCCTAAAGATTTCGCCCCTCTACTTTGTAATCTCCATGTGCTATTTATTCGCGGCGGAAAGTATTATAAATTTGGGTACTACGCATTGCTGCATTTTTGTGATGAAATGAAATTGGGTCAGTACATTGAATGTAAATAGATGGATAAAGTCGTAAAGTTTAACTCAAAGCATCGTGAATCTAATGAAGTTTTCCAAGAGCTAACTTTCACAAAGCTCTCTGTAGAATTGCAACTTCAACCCCCACGGCTAGAGTTTGCAATCTCACTTATGCATTTTCATTGTCAATTACAGGAAAAAATTGACTAATTCAGATTAACCCACACTTACCGTGTGGATTTGGCCCGCGCCACCTTTCACAGTGTTCTTTATAAAATCTATAACTCCAAGCTTGTTACTTTGGTAGAGCTTGTTCCTTTGATGACGAAGTGGTGCTTGTGATGTTAGAGACATGTCGAGGTTAAAATATTAAGCAGGAAAATGTACCATATCTTCCGTTAGATACTATATAGACTCAAATGTGTATAATACAATATTAAATTCATCAAATTTTGAAGTATGATACATAATTCTAATTACAACACATGATTATGTTGGACGAACTTCTCATATGGTTTGCAATTACAAAAAATGCCAATCCAAAAGCAACACAAAAGAAGTTAACATGGATTGTAACACATGACTTTCTCAAATGAGCTCCGCATGAAGTTTGCAATCACAAAAAATGCCAACCCAAAAGCATCACAAAAGAAGTTAATCAAATGAATTGTAATACAAGACTTTGTCATATGAGCTCCGCACATGTGACTTGCAATTACAAAAAATGCCAACTCAAAATCAACACAAAATGAGTTAATCAAATAGATTGAGCACAACTACGTGATCAATGTTAGCCATGCCACGATCTCCATCAGTCTAAAGCGATGAATCCACCTTATGGCAAAATTTCGATGATAGAATCCTAACCTTAAAGCTCATGCACACAGTCAAGTATTCGACAATGAATACTACATTTGTTGATTGATTTCATGCCAATCTAAGCAAAAACTTGGTACTCCGAGAGTGTAATCAAGATCCTTGATCAACTTTACCTGATCACGAGCCGTTTGAGTTCTGAAATGATTGCTATCGATTTGTTGTTACGTGCTATTGAGAGATATCTTGTTTGACGTGAAGGCTTAGATTGCCACGAGTAGCAAGATTGAAAGAATCATGTACATCGTGAGGTTCTGTTTCATAACCGAGACCAACAAGCACAATTGGTTGACGACCATGTGAGGTGCAATTATGTATAATAATTCTAATTTTGAGTTTCTTATCTTAGTAGCCTAAATTAGTCTAAATTAAAATTTCATGGTACTGAATTGAGCTAATTTAGGCGACTCACTAATATATTATTTGTAGTTAAAATTAAAAATTATTAATATATATTTACATGCTTATTTTAAAATATTTGGAATTTAAAACTTTTAAAATTCAATCTATATTTAAAAATGTATTGTTATTATTTTTGGAAAAAATCTTTTTGAAAATATTTCTTAATTAAATCAAATAAAACTGGAAAATTTATGTGAAAACATTACAAAATTGAACATGAAAATTTACTCCAAGAATTATATCATTTTTTTATTGAAAGTTTAAATTATAGCCTAATTTTTTTATCATGCAGATATATTATTTAACTATTGATTTAAAGTTATGTGACCATCATGTTGTAACCTTTTAATAAAAAATGAAAAAATTTATAATCTATTTACAAAATTTTAATTCAAATTAATAATTTAATTTGCTTGATCGTTCGTGATTGAACTCACATGGATAAGAAAATCATGAAATATCTTATCAAACCAAACAAGTTGAAATAACCAACTGAAACAAAAAAAAGTTTCTAGTAGTATCATAAAGGTATATATTTAAGTGTCTATATCTCCCCCATATTCAAATTATCAAGATTAAATGTCTTGACATTTTATTTCAAAAAAATAAATTCTTGGATAGTTCATAATCAAACGTGATGAGTTTACTATTAAGATCCTTGATGAATGTTTCTGTAACTTATTGAAAGCATCTTTAGCAAAATAAGCTACACAATATGCTAGAGAAATAATACATATTATCACATCATATAATTGATTTTTGCATACTTTTAGATTCATGTAAATATTCACATCCATGGCTTCATATAACTTCAAAAATAGTACAAGAAAACACAGATATCTCTACGTATCCTATGTCTATAGAGAATGTCCATATTTTCTTGATTTGTTTATCCCTTCATTCACTGTATATGTAATATGCCATCACTAATCCACTCTACTCTTTCCCATGTAGCTACACAATAACAATCTCGTAAACATCTATAGCATGTCGATAGAAAAGCACTGAAAATGTTCAATATTATATCTATCCCTCAGATATCCATACTGTTCTTTGTGATCCAAATTAATAAAATGAAGAGAATTGGATATTCACTCTATATGCAAAATATACCCTTCGTGATCGTGAACAGCTAAGTTACTGCCTCTTTCTCAAGCAGCACGTCGAAACAAGAATTTACTCGTTTCGCTTCACACAGAGAATCTGGGCCGAGAGAGTCGAGTCAGCCAAGACCCGGAAGCCGTCGGGTCGGAGGAACGGGCCATTCCTGACTCTTGGACTGGGGAGCGACGAGCTCGCGAGTTTCGAAATGAGGTGTGCATTCTGAATCTTGTGAGCTTGAAGCGGAGCCCGATCGAATACAGTTACAAATTGTCAACAAACTGAGGACATGGCAGCTGTGGTAGCAGGGCTGCCGCTTCTTGTTGTCGCAGAGAGGCGAGATTTCACCGTAGCAAGAGCTTCGAGGCCCTCGGGGTGTCGAGAATATGGATTTCGCGTGGACTGGAATAGGCGTCGAAATTCTGCGCCAGGGATTTGCTTCTCTCTGCAATCTCCGAAAGAAAAAAAGGGATTTGGTGCACCTCTGAAGAAGAAGAGCGGTGCTTTGGAGAAGAAATCTGGCGATGACGCCGGGAAAGTGTCAGATTCTGGGAGTGAGAGAAGCGCGCTAGAGGAGGTCGATGATGATGTCGTACCGGAGGTGGTCACCAATCGTATGTTGAAAAGAATTGCTTTGACTGTGGGAGTTCCTCTAGCCGTCGGTGTGCTGTTCTTTCCTCTGTTTTATTACTTGAAAGTGGTGAAGAAAGTCGATGTTCCCGAATGGCTGCCTCTGCTAACATCGACGCTCACCTTCGGAACAGCCGGTTTTGGAATAACATACGGCGTTCTCTCAGCGAGTTGGGATCCTGCCAGAGAAGGATCGTTATTGGGATGGAAGGAAGCACAGCTCAATTGGCCAGTTTTTCTAGAGACGGTTCAAGGCAAGAAGGATAAAAAGTAGAGAACAATATGAAATTCTCACTGTATCATACGTAGAGTTCAACGACTGTCAATGCATCGGGCTCATTGGGTCCAAATCTCAAATTGAGTGAAGTGATTATGCTCTTAGGGTGTGTATTGGTGACGGGATGAAATTTCAATTCCATCCCAGTGCGGCTCGCTTTGTTGATTCGTTTTGATTCTCCAGGCTCTCATTGCTTGGTAGTGCACCAGTCTTTGCATGCCGGTCGAACGGCGACCGAATGCCCGCCGATCTTGCAATTTCGAAGTCTCTACGAATCATTGTGATACACAATTTGGATCATAACGAGAAACCGTATTCCCCGATATTTGGTCATGCTTCTTGTCCACTGCTACACTAAATCCGCAATTTCGGGGGCTAACGAAGGTTCGGGGCGAAGCTCCTTGATACTCTCATCACATGAGGCTTTTTTTCTTTCCGTGACACCCTCCATGTCTGCTTGCGGTAGTCCTCGTCGGCTCTTCACAATCCCACGAAGCAGGAATCCATGGCTCGTCGAGCGAGAGGGATAGAGCGCCATCTGCCATACCCGACGCACGGGAGCCTCGGGGAGTGACGTGGACTTGCGAGGCGTTCTTTGAAGTCCCATTGGCCGAGCCGTGCACGCTCAGCATATGCAGCTCGGAAGATGACGATAGATCTCGCAAAACCTCATTTCCACCATAACATTAGGTTTTTGTATATCCGACGGAAAATGCTTAACCGAGGTGAATTATATTCACATTCTCCACTCGGGTGCTTCGGCAATTGACACGCGTCGGCTTGCGTCGGATTGTCCGCGGTAAGTGGGTAAAGACGGACTCCGGGACTATCCAGTTAGTGCACCTCACCCGGAGTGAGACAGACTGTGAGGAGAAGGAATCGACTGTACTGCACTGCGTGGAGCGTTACTACGTTAACGGTGCGGTAACTTGGTTGTCAGGTTTGAGGCCTGCTTCGAAACCTTACCCGGAGTGAGAAGGGCCGAGGAGAGGAGGAGGTTACCGTAGCCAGCAGACATCATCTGAAGGAGTTGGTCTCAGAGGGAGAGGGAGGCGAGGACAGAGTCGAGGAAGCTCTGGTCCTGGATATCTTTCTGGATTTCCCGTCGCTGTAGGCGCTGGTCGACTTCGGCTTGTTGCCGGGTTGGAATTTGTTGATCGTATCGGTTGGTACGACCATGGCGGCCTCGTCAGCGATTCTGCCATTGCCCTCGGTGTGCTCTGTGATGCGAAGCTCGTGTCGTGACATTTCGAAGCAACGACTGTCGCAGCAGAATGTTAAAGTGAGCCCGGGAGTGATCGGCGGGGCATGCTGGAGATGGAGTTTGCCAGGTATTAGGGCTATGGCCCCCGAGGATGAGAAGATGACCAGGCGTTCACCACTTGACTTTCCAGTTGTAAGTTTCTTCGAACTTCGGATGCGGAAATATTAATTTCATTGCTCCTCTACTGAATTGACACTCCTTTCCTCAATTTGTGATAAGCTCTGCTCCTTGCGGAAGAACTCGTAACACCATCCCCTCGTTTTCCCCTAACTGTTGGGGTTTAGTATGACAACGACAATGAATCTATTGGGGTGGAATAATAACCCTTGTCAGCTGGGATTGTGTTCGGTTGCATCTTTCATGAAGGAAGTCCTTCTTGTAATAGCCCCAGTTTATCCTCGAAAGACGCATTTTTTATTAGTTGTTTGGGTTTACCATGTCTGGAATTCCCGGCCAGGACTTCAGTTTACGATTTCAGCGTAAATTAAATCACTGAGGACATTTTGAGATGACTCCTCTGTGATGAATGATGTCGATTTCTTCTACTTTCCCACAGTCAAGCATGGTACGGTCATACTTCAGCTGAAGTTTCTGTCTAAAGCAACAATTTTGAATGTTAACAACCTGATGAAAGGTTTTACATTCCTGTCAATAGAAAAGCCCTAGATCCTAGTGATACGTGTCTAGGATTGACTAGTCATGACGTGTTTAAAGTTGTACATGTTCCGTTGCCTTGCTGGCTTATAGTTTCTTCCCAAGCCGATACTCCGCCCATATTTCAACAGAGGCGCGGATCAATTCCAATCTCACACGTCTGGGTTGTAGAGCATGACTGGCAGCCCCCTACGATTTTTCATTTAGTATAAATGTGATTGTTGGTGACTGCGTCGAACCTTGAGACGTGCTGATGTTATTTTGACATTCAAGGAATATATTTTTCGTAACTCGCAGTATGAAGCATGAGAACTCTAGACATCAGATTATAGATGGAATGTTTTGTATGGAGGTGTCGACGAAGAAGCTGCCCACAAATTGTATGTCAATGAACTTCTGGAATGTTGAGTGGCATTATGTTGCGTGACTATGAATCTTTATGTGTTTGCTACCAGTCTTGTAGGCTTGTATGAAATCAAATTAGTGTGGACTTTAAGCTAATTTGGAAAGATAATGTTGATGGTTGTGAATGAAAGCATTACTCTTGTCGAATAAATTTGATGTAACTTATGTTTTTCTTGGTTTGGTTCTTGCAGGAGTGGGATAGACCAACCCCAGGTAGAAGGCCTGACATTTTCCCACAATTTAGTCCCATGAAAACTCCTCTTCCTCCCCCCTTGCCCTCGGATCCCCCAGAAGAGGATGAGGATGAGGAAGAGAAGAAGGAAGAGGAGCCTGATAAAGAGCCGGAGAAGCCAGAGGAGTAGAGACAGATTTTTTTTGGTGATTTTTGATAAGTCCGCTTTTAGCGAATTAGAAAAAATTTCTGAGTTTACTCTCGGCTCCTGTTCAAGGACGGTTGTCAAAGCACTGCCTCATTTTCTACGAGAATTCGAGGAGATCCGCGTGAGGACAAACCAGCAATTGAGGAAGGGCATACTTTGTGGAATTTACGCTTCAGCAGCTTAATTCACTTCAGTCAATTATCACGAAGCGTGAAATTTAGAAATAATTTATATGTAGAGGAGGTAGAGTACAGCACTTTGCACGATCATGTTGACGCCAACATTTGAACTGGTTGTACTATATTAGCATTCACAATTGAGATAAGTAACTCGTACGTTAAATGTTGTCCTCGGGTTTACTGTTGACACCATGTTGTTTTACGGGCCGAAAAGAAGTTGAAGTGGTTAGTTCAATTGTTCTCGTTTCAGTAGTGGAGAAGACCCACTACAGTGCTCTGTCTTGTATTTGTTGTTCCAAACCAGAGATTTTTACCTTAGGGGCAACGACCATCGTTTTCACCTTGGCTTGTTGGGCTTGGAGTTATCCTCAAACCCTCAGCACCCAGTGCAGAATCTTGTGCACCTCGGTATCCCCTGCTAAAGCACGGAGACTACGTGATGGTTGACGCCGATGGCCAGTGGTTGACCTTTCTTGCGTGGGATCTGTCCCTCCATTCTGGTCGCTTAGTTCTCCCACCACTGTCAATACGACCGCGCCTCTTCCCGCTGCCTTCCATACTCCACCATTAGCAACCTACGTGCGTTAGACTTTCGTTCATTACTTCAGATCATGCATGACAGTAGCAGTTTTTCTTTCATGGTCTATTTCTCGAATTCATCGTCTACACCTTTGAGATGTCACAGCCGGCATTGCGTTTCATCGGCCTCTCACATGTCATGCCCAGTGGTTGATTATCTGCGATTGTATCTACTCTTCGGAATCAGAGGTATTTTGATGTATCAGAGGCCTGACTGGTTGTAGCAAGTCGAGATGTGCATATCTTGAGCGTGTGAGCCTGAAAATCAAGATATCTAACTAATAGGAATAATACGTTCGGAAACACCTTAGTGAAACTGAATTGGATCTTGGATCTGGACTCTTCTCGTTAATGGTTCACCACACGCAGGCTGTACTGCCGGAGTCACGGACTTAGCTGAGTCTAAAAACACCAACACTGTAGTGTGCACACACCATGATGCAAGAAAGGCTTCGAATGAGAGACTTGACTGAAGCAGGCCAGATGAAAATTATATGAAATTGTTTGTATGTATTTTCGAAACTACACAACGAGGAGCCCTCGTCCTCTCGAAGTGTATATGTACTTTACAGGTGTTGTTGGCTTGATTTGAAATCTTATGTAGGCCAGTACGAGATAAAGGGTCAGTCACCTGGACTGGCACTATGGGTCCCGTTTATATCCTAGACTGCTGCAGTGTGAAAGCCAAGCTTTTTCGAAGAGCCTGCGATCAAAGGACCTGAAGAAACAGTGGTGAAGATAATATTACTGTAATGTTACGAGGAATAAAGACATAAGCCTCGAGGGCAGCCGTCCCCTGCCCGTCGAACTTGGCATGCATGAAACATTCATGACCTTGGCGACCTCAGTTGACGCATGGACCATGTATCCAGAAGTTAGGATTTCATTCCACTGCCCAATTGGGTCGCATACACCGCTACTTCCCCACCCACCGTCTGGTCGTAGTCGAAGATAGAAGCCAAGATATGTCCGATCACATGTGCGCAGAATGGCTGGCACTGGACCGTGTCCATCAGGCAGACGCAGGTCACGCCCACACGTACTGTACTCCGTATACGTCGTCGCACACAGAAAGTAGATGCAGGCAGGCAGGGCAGGGCAGTGGACCGTCCGTCAGGGTACTGAAATGATTCGTTCGGGTCAAGGTACAGGGCCCTCGGATATCGATTTCGTGAAGAACTCGTTGTTGTTGGATGGAAAGCCGACGACGGCACGATGTACGCCTTCTACTGTGTCTCATGAGCAGAGCCCGGCATAGCAGATGCAGCAGAAGCTGACAATTGGACTCGCCTCATCTCCTTCTTGCCCTCGCCATCGGTGAGTTTACTTGGTCCGCAATCCTTGTGCTGTGAGATTGTCCGAGAATCGTCCAGATGATCTGTGCTGACGAATTGGAATTTGTTCTCTTTCGCGACCTTGGGGTTCCGGCCTTCCCTGGATACATGTCCGGCCGGGCCGCGAGGCTGGGCAGTGGTGATGCAGAATTGTGGTAGGTTGCTTTGGTAGGGACAATCGTCGTGAATGTCCTGTGCACTAGAAGAATGGCTCGGTCGTCTAAATGTGCCTGCTGAATTTGGTCCTTGCATATCCTTGATTTAGGGCGACCTCGATGTGTACCCGTGTGCCTCGGTGAGTTTGTGTCCGTTGTGGAGCCCTCTGTTTCAGTATCTTTGAAGATCATTGACACCGCATGCATGCATTCACTCGTTGTTCGGCGGGGATTGACTTCTGTTTATGGGTATCAATTTGCGGGCGATATTCTGGACATTTTGTGAAAGTGGGGTTGGATTAGGCCGGGTGATCTTTCAGGAGGTGAGGTCTTGTCATCGATTTCTATTGATTTGATGGATCCATCCGAGTGGGATCTGCTGGCCGCAGGAAGCAGCGATCAATGTTGAGATGCTCAGCACTGGCAGTTGTATCTGTCGCATTCGTACATATCAATCGTGTCGTGCTCGATTTGACTTACGGCTGTGCCGTCGAATTGACGTCACCAGTATGTAGGGTTGTGCCGAGCATGGATTCTGAGAGTCGTGTCAGTGCCGCTGTGGCCGATCGTTGTGGTGCTCGTCGAGCTTTTCGCTCCTGTCGTTGTCTGCAACACGAACAGAACCCTTCCCTCTTATAGAATTCTCGAATAATTTCTCCTTTCCCTTCTGCACCCGAAGACTTCGATGACGACGGGGGCTATTTCTAGCGGAAGCAGATGTATCCAGTCTTTGGGTCACGCCTTGATTGTGAACGATGTGGTCAGCCGTAGAATCGTGCAATACACAGAGGCATGACAAAGTTACGTCCTGTGGTGCAGAAGCGTGTGCCCTGGAGCTAGACAAAATGTCGCAGTCGGATGGGTGTCCCCGTCGACACCCTCGTTCTCACGCGCGTGCTGTGTGGTTCGATGACCATGTGAAGGCAGGTGAGTCGCCATCAACGCTTCCGGTGAGAAGAGGGTCGGGTTCTTGTTGTGCGTTTCGTCCCTGTATGAAGATGATGATGTCTGTTCTCGACAATAAAGAGGTGTTGTTGCTTCATGTGTTCCAGAATCCGCCAGCAGTGGGCGCAATCTTCATCCCAGTCATGCCCTGTGTAAAATCTGAGTGCAAGGTCGTGTTCCGATTAAAAAAGTGAAAATGGAGACCGAAACCTGGCCATTCACGGATACTTGGAGCTTACATGGAAACAAGGAGATTGTGTCACGGTACCAGATTTTGGAAAAGATCGGAGAGGGAGCATTTGCAGATGTTTACAGGGCGAGAAGACGGGAAGATGATTTGATTGTCGCCCTGAAGGAGGTTCACGACTCAGACAGTTCGTATAGGGAAGTGAAAGCCCTCCTTCTTCTGGACCACCCCAATGTCGTCAAACTTTACGAGTACTTCGTGCAGGGCAGCAACATGGTGCTCGTCCTGGAGTACCTGCCTTCCAATCTTGCCCAGGTCATACGAGCTGGTAACCTCACGGAGGCAGAAGTCAAAGGCTGGTGTATCCAGATTCTGCGCGGGCTATCTGCTTGTCATTCAGCCTCGGTTCTCCACAGGGATATCACGCCCGCCAATCTACTGATCTCCGAAGATGGAACCTTGAAGATTGCAGATTTTGGAACGGCCCGTGTTTTGATAAAGGATGCTGAGGGGGAGATTGATGGATTTGGTTATGGATCAGAAGTTGCTGATGACGAATTGGCAGCAAGTGGCCTCAACAATTCAGAGCCTTGTGAGAGTGGACGAGAGTTCAACCCCCAAATTGAAGTAGACGGCGTCACATCAACTGGAACCGGCGTTCCCCATGTGCCCTTCAGAACAGAAGCACCTGGCCGACAGTTCGGTTCAAGTCCAAATCGCTTCGAGACGGGGAATGCTGGGCTACAAGATTTTTCTGAATCTGATAATCCTCAGGTTGCAAGCACGAGCCCACGAGACAGAGACTCTGACCTCCCGGATCGCGAGTCGAGTGGTTCTGCGGTCGAAGGCAGGGCGCATGATGGAGTGGAGAAAATGGAGAGAAATTCGAGCCAATCGGTCGGACGGAGCGTGTCAGGGTTTCAGAGTCCTGGATTGCAGGGCCAGGATCCTGGATGCTGCGGATGGTTTTCCTCAGAGCCAGATTCCGCACTTCCTTCGATCAAAACTGCCGACCCAGCTGCTCTCCAGCCAAACGTCGTCTGGAATGCAGGGACAGAGCACCGTCCTGGCCAGGACGCAAACGCCAGATCCCACGAGGATGATGACGAGGAGAGTGACAGTGACAGTCGCTCGAAAGAGAAACAGGGATTTCAGGACTGGATCGTTACTCAAGAGAACACTCAGCAGACGTACGATGCTGATAACCTCGCCCATGGCAAGGCAGAACGTGAAGGCGATTTGCTGCGAAAGTTCCATCGATTTCTCAGGAAGCGAACGGGGCGCTCCGAGGGAAAAATGGAACCGAAGGAGGTTTCCGCTTCTGAACCTGAGGGGGCTGCCATGGCAGACGATCAGGAGGACGTGTGGAAGGAGCCCTCGAAAAATTGGGATCCCACATGCGCGCTCATGACGCATTCCGAGCAAGCTCCTTCACTGACGACGAGCGTGTTCAGGCACCCGGCGGCTCAAGAGCTCCGCAGAGGAGTCGATGAATTGGACCCCCGGGGCACCTTCAAGGACGCCAGAGCGAACAAGGCAGTGCGCAGCAACATGTCGTCGTCCACCGGATCTCTAAGAGCGATGGCTTCTGCTCCCAACTCTGCACACAATGATGGATTCAACCGTGCGATGTTTTCGGAGGGCCTCTCTGCTGTTCACGATGAAGTCGCGCCCGTGGTGGAAAAATCGGGAGACGATTTGGAGGCTGACGGCTTCTGTGCACGATCGGTGGGAGCTGGGAATGCTAGCTCTTCTCATAGGAAGGCCGGCAGATCAGGAGCTATCAATATCGGTGGCAAAGGTGGTCAGAGACCGGGAACGGGACCGGAAGGCGAGTTTGGGAGTGTTGGGAAAATCGTTGGAACATCATGGGACCAAGTGGATGAGCACTCGAGGTCGTTGTCGGATGTCGAAGGCACGAGGTGGTTTAGAGCTCCACATGTCCAGGATTCTTACATGGAGACTGGCAAGGCAGACGCATTCGGCGGCATGCGGTCGTCGGGTGAAACGAGACGGGACGATGTAGAATTTGAAGAGGAGTGGGAAGATGGCACTGAAGGCACTGAAGGCGGGGCTTACGGGAGGAGAGGTGGATCATCGCAGGACACAAGTGATCGAGGTGAGAACATATCAGAAGACGGTGAGGCTTTTACAACCATGGTCGGTACACGCTGGTACAGAGCACCTGAGCTGCTTTATGGAGCCACCAAGTATGGAATGGAGATCGATATCTGGGCATTTGGATGTGTTTTTGGGGAACTCCTCTCAGGCAAACCGCTCTTTCCTGGATTGAATGACATTGATCAACTCAGTCGGCTGGTGAGAATATTGGGTTCTCCAACTGAGAAAGAGTGGGAAGGTGTAACCTTGCTACCCGACTTCAGCAAGATTAAATTTGTGGATGATCGCTCTCCGACGACTCTCAGAAACTACTTGCCAAACATTTCGAAGACCTCCTTAAATTTTCTGGAAAGAGTCCTTGCGTATGATCCTCTTCGGAGGCCAACTGCCGCAGAAGGTGTAGAGGATAATTACTTCCATACGGACCCACTTCCGATTGCTCCATCCAAATTGACAGTCCCAACATCCGAGGAGAAGAACAACTCTACTGACGATGAGTGGGGTGAATGGAAGGACCCAGGGTCTCCTTTCTCGGATTTTGAAATGCTTGGCTAAGGTGGTCATGGCTGGGCCTATCAAAACTCTAGACATCCTTCTCCCAGAATCATTATGTGTCAACTCCAGGCCAGAGCCAGGCAATCAGTTTGGACCTTCATCACTTCAGAACTTCAACCCTGATACTTCCATCTACATCCTCAGATATCAATGCGCTACCCCACTTGGAATCCAAGGTGGGCTGGCTGCCAGGTTTACTGAGGCTCTCGTGTAATATTTGGTTGAAGTTGTGATGGCGCAAGCACCGTTGCCTAAATAGAGTTTTGAAGAGTCTAAGTATCTCTGTTTCGGCATGTTGGGTTGCTTTTGCATGCTCTGCTTCCAACTCACTGTCCTTTGGCTTGACGGAAAAGCTACGAGTTCGAATACAAACTTCCTGTCACGTGTATATGAGGAGTTTATCGCCTTTACATGGTTGATCGAGTCATCTCGAGTCTGAGGAGGCAGTTGAAGATCATCCTGAAATCTTGGATGGTTCTTCAAGACATGAAACTTCATGTGGGCATGGAGGCTCTATTCCTGCGATTGTTCTCTGATGAGTTATGCACGCCATGAAATTAGCAATTGGGTGCAGTTCAGTGTGCGCCCGACGGCTTTGACCGACGTTTTAACGCTGCTATTACAGTGGAATCATCTGATCTCGAATTGATTTACGAAGTGCAGATTATAGTCTCTCCAGGTTTTGTTTCCGTAGGGCGGTGCTTGTGACTGTCAGTATGACTGGGTCTTATGCTCATTGTGCAACATCCGTCTCACGCTTCCAGTTGTATGTATGTCAGCGTCGGTGGTGAAGATCGATATTTTGCCGTTCCCTTCAGTCACGATTTATCAGATGTGTCGACGAACATCACAACCCGATCCGAACTTGAGCATGTGTGCCTTCGCTTTGCGTTTGACTGACAAAGTCCTCCAGAGGGGAGGAAGTGTCCTCTCGATCACCTCAAGCTTGACGGAAGAATGGAGGTTGGCCTCGATGAGTAGACACAGTTCATCGGCAACATTGAACATCCGCATGAAAAAATTGTTGAGGAGCTTGTCAACTGACAGCCAAGTGGTTATGATAAACACCTACCACGCGCATGCTGGACGCGAAAGAGATTTCGGAGACTGTGGGCAGGCTCGACTGAAAGGCGGTCAATATCTCCACTGCGCAAGGCTCCCCAGCAAATCTCGATATATGGTCCTTCGTCGAACATCTCGTGCACGACGATGAGAGGACTGAACCAATCAGCAGATCAACAAAAAATTTAACTTGGAACGCCTTCACGACTTCAACTCAATTATCTAGTGTCCTAAAGGAGCACGTTATTGCGGTACACTTGCAGTGAAAGATAAATTAACCTTCTTCACTGACCCGACCTGACCTGAGTGTTGGTCGAATCCAATCCTCTTCTCTCGTACTACGTCCCGATGATTGTCGTACTCGAAGCTAAAGCAATTGGAACCGAAGGAATATCTAAAGTGAGATCCGTATGATACTTTTTCTTTCTCTTGTTCTTTTCTTTTCTTCGTGTGATGGTTGATGTAATATTGTACTACAAACTTCTACAGTGTTCGGCAGCTGCCAGAACCACGTGCACATAGTGGACACAAGTCATCAACTTCGGCTGAGTGAGCCAAGTCTGTTGACAGAAGTCCTACTGGAGGTGACGATGGTTCTATTCTTCACCGGAGACAGTGGTATTAATAAAGAGCTGGATTCCCCTGCTGAGATCTGTCTTTCACCCTGCAGGACTAGAACTGACTTCCTGGTCTTAGCCGTAGGCCAAGTTTGACTCGCGGAAGCGTTCCAAGGGACTGCTGGATTGTCTGTCCATGCAAGTGTACAACAATAACGTATCCTTCACCGCACTAGATACTTGAGTCTGTCTCCTTTGCGAGTAGAGCCATTCGCCGTCTTCCGAAGGTATTATATTCCCGATACTTGTCGGTTTTAACTGACCGTATTCTCCTATGTGCAAGCAAACATAGTTACATGCAGATAAGAAGAATCTTAGTTTGCGGTTAGATGAGATATGGGTTGTAGTGAGATGCTGTATTGTATAGTTCAGGTTTTCCTTCTGGAAATATCGGTGGAGACAGACTTGTCCCGTAGGAATACTTGTGGGAAGCATCTGACTGGTTCGCCCTTTGCCAGCAGCAATTTTCCGCTGAAAGAATATACCTACTGCAGACGTGAAGTCTCCTACCTCTCCTCTTGGAACAAGCAAGTCTCTCGAGACTATGATGATCGCTGGAGTGATGGAGTGATTATCTGTACGTAAAGGAAAGGAATACATTATCGTCGTGGGTCTGGATTTTGTTGCACTACACTTCATTCTCTTACAGTATTTAACGTAATGTGAATGGTTAAACATCTTGTGTACGTGTGCACCAAGCAATTCATCTTGTACTTCTTGTTTAAATTCTCAGACGATAAAAGCTAGTTGAAGATTTGGAAGCAAGAAACCACCGACTCGGATGTGAAGAATGTATTGAGATTGTACTAGAACAAGTCACCCAAGACTCAAGCGTCGGAACGCTGCTAAGTTTGATGTTTGATCTATTCAGACTCTGGTACTAAATATTTTGGGCTTTGACATCCCGGACAGTGTCCCCTCTGCGGAAAAAATGGATTGTCAGCTTTTCACCGGCTCGTCACATTTTGTTCTGAGACTCAATAATGAATTTCTAGTCCTACTATCAACTTGACCAAGCTGACATTTCTTCCTCCTACTGAATCCCCTCTTGGTCTACATAAGACTAATCCATACGTCTTCGACCTTCTTCGTATGGCATGGAATGGATTTACAAGTGCATGTCAAACGAGACCCGAAGTGAGTTGCTTATCATGCACGGGTTTGAATCACTATCTCATGAAGGTATTATCGCGAAAGAGCTGCGTACTTGGGATTTGAATGCAGATTGGTTTTGTGTTCCAAGCCATGTTTTTTTGAAGACAACTCTCATATCGTATAATAGAAACATTATTAAGAAAAGCCAGCAAAGGTCATCTCCTCGCTGTATACTCCTGATCGGACAGAATGACAGAGTGACAGAGAGCCAGATGTGGTACGGGTAGTCAGCACTTCCGAACACTGACAAACCCACCATCCAAGTCACGCAGTACATTTTCTGCTGTTGTAGCTGATACTGACCTCGGCAGGTTCACGCAAACTTGAAAACCGAGAGCTGTCAGAGTACCTTCTTCAGCTTGAGCTGCTTGCTCAGAGATAGTGGACAGTAAGAGAAATGCTCAACTCAGCACATGCATTGCAAGTCCGACACTGAGATTCGTATGATTCACAATCAACATCCGAAGATGCGTAAATACAGGGGCCGAGTAAAGGCGAAGTCCTTCAAGGATAGGAAAAAATGCTTCAACATTGATTTGCAAGATGAATGACCTTTGAGTTTTTCTACAAATCCCAAACAAATCTTACTCACAGTCGTCTTCGGCTTGAGAGCTAAGATAATTCAGTTATCGGAACATCCACTTAGCACGAAATCATTTCTGATCGTCGTGATTTTGGGACTGGAAGTAAGCCTTTTACAATGATACACTAGAGGCAATAAGGTGTTGCTTCTAACTTCAAAAAACCAATAACTTGGGGAGAAGGCTCTTCAGCAGTCCTGGAAAAGAAGTCAAAGAATTACATGTCGGTATATTGGGTTCTAAGCTCGCAGGCAAACATCTCTAATCGTAGGAAAACTTGTTCACGCTCGAGCCAACTTTGAGAGCCTTCATGCGAATTTGCACAGCAGGCAAATTGCAAGATCTTCAATGTTGTAAGGACTTCTCGGAATGCCTTAAGTCCAAGTGATCACTTGACCTGCCCGTCAGCAACTCTGCTGACGAATGAAAAAAATCCTCAACGAATGTATTCTTGTGGGTAGAAGGATTTACGTTCATCGCTTTACTGTCTCAAACTCTCGACGATGTACTGCGCATACAAGTTCCTGAGAAAATGGAACAAGAAAGTTGTTAGCGGTCCTGTACTGTCCTGCCCTGATCTGACCTCAAGCACGAGGCTTCAATCTTTCCAATATATCATACAACTGAGGCTCAACAGCTACTGAACATGTTCAAGCACGCACACTGGCTGGGAATTTTCGACAATCTCTAAACCATAATAAATTCATCCCCAGAAAATATTCTAACTTCATAAAACTTCGTAACATTTCGACATTGGAACATACATCGAATGGCCAATAGCTTCAATGGCGCTCTCTGAGCCCAAAAAGTCGTTAACTGCTACTTCCTTGTTCTCATTCTTCTTGTCTGCAAGTCAAAAAGTTCAGGAAGTAACCAGAGGACAAAGTGATCTTGCTGACATTTCCAATATCGTTTGGTAAACCGTCAAAAGTACAAGAGAAGGCAAACTCCATATCCGGGGAGGTGAGACGAGGTCAAAAAATCCCTAATCAATTGGATGAGGATACAGTCTTCAAAGAATCGACGAATCTCAGCGAGCCTGTGAGGTGGCAGCTCATTGATGTCCTTGTAGTGACGGAATTCGGGATCATCGGCGCAGACAGCAATGATCTTGTCGTCCATCTCACCCTACAACACTCGAATAAGCAGGAATGAGTTTCAATACTGTTCCAGTCCAGTCTGAACAGACGTGCCGAAAATTTAAAGCACACTCTTTTTACTCAAAGTTGAAAATGCTCCAGCACTTGACCAACTTTCGTCTTCAACAAAAGAGGAGACAAATGTGTGCTTCTCATTATCAATGAGAACAAAGACGGGTAGCCTCGACTGGCACGTTTGAAAAGCTCACCTGGTCAATCATCGGCATGAGTCCGATAGCCCTGGCTCTCAGAAAGCAACCTGGAATAACGGGTTCCTGCACAGGGAAGCAAACACCACACCGCTTCACTTCAGACAACACATTGGCCGAAACTCTGTCAATCCTGTGACTTGACTCCCTTACGTGAGATTTATGCATGCAGAGTCAAGAGATGAGATGAAGAAATCCCTTCTTCCATCCGTCCGTTACCGTCACAGGAGTGAGCAAGTAACAATTCAACGAGCCACTGGTTGTTGGACCCAAGTACCTTCCTGCCTTCTAAAACCAGAACTTGTGGTATTTAGGCACAGCATGTTGCATTAGTATTATAGAGTACGGAATCCGGAGAAAGATCAGCATGTCTCTGTGCAGCTGAAAGACATTCGAGTGAGTGAAATCAGAAGATTACCTGCATAAGTACCAGAACATCCATAGGATCGTTGTCTTCACAGAGAGTACGAGGAATGAATCCATAGTTGTGAGGATAGACAACTGAGGAATACAAGATGCGATCAACCTGCGGAAAAGCGTTACAGGAGCCGGGTCATTCAGCTTCGATCAATCCAACCTGGTAAACTGTGAGAGCTGAAAACAGGAGCTGCACTCCCGGAAATCTATTAAAGGGGTTATTCTTACCTTGATCAGGCCACTCTTCTTGTCAAGCTCGTACTTCACTTTACTTCCCTTAGCGATTTCGACAACCTGCAGGCATCACGAATCAGTCAGAAGTTGCCTCAAATGTTTCATTACAGGCTCCAAACTACCTCGCTTCAGTTCGACATGTAATTCCGGACGAGAGGAGGTACTCACGCAATTGAAAATGGCAGGAGCTTCGGGACCTGAAAAACCATAGATTGGACAATATTGAATTCGTTAGATTAACCGTCCTCTCACGTATCCAAGATCTGAATGCCGTGCACAACAATGAAACTGAACCGAATCGAGCAATACACGCGTCCTGGGGACGCTGCAGACGTCATGACACAATAACTAGTACCCTAAACCTTCGATACGATCGAACTTTGATGTCCTTACCGATTTCCAGATCGTGCCATGGATGGGCAGCGACGGATCTTCTAGTCATGGAAGTCATGATGCGCTTGTTCAGAGAGGTGTTGCCGATACGTGGGTAGTTCAGGGGATGCATGGCGTGCGGGCCCTTCGGGGGCACACTGGCACCTGAGCTCCCATTCGCCATGTTGACGATTATGGATGATTCACCTGTCTGCTTACAGTCACTGCATTCCAAATACAGGCAAAACCCAATGAGCTCAAGTGCAATAATCACAGTTATTCCTGCTGCATAGCTCGTAACAAAAACTCCATACTCCTGATTGATGAGGCCTCACCGGCCTCAAGAAACCAGATCGGGTCTCACAAATTGACCTCCACCATGAGCAAACTTTACACGAACGTGAAAACATAGACCACGCACAAATTTCCAGTTCAATTCAGCTCAATGCACTACTCTCCTGTCTAGTATGCCGTCAAACGACCACCCGAATCACATCGTCTACGATTAAATACTCCAAAGATTCCACATCATTTCAGAGATGGGTTCTCTGTTGTAGTCTGACCAGAAGACAAGACTGTTAAATAAAATATAAGCTGGCAGATGATACACTGAGAATTTTCACACCATGTGACCCAACATCCTCATGGACTCGATCACCGCTCAACTCAAGTTTCCAAGTTCCATCGCTGCAGAGAATGATTATAAAAGCAACAACAGCGGCAGCAGCCGCTCACGAGCTGCAATTGAACATGGACCGATCGGAGACAGAAGGAAAGACTGAGATAGCCACAAACATGGAGCCTTGTCTGCCACCTGACCTGAGAAATCGCCCTCACAAACAGCAGCAGCAGCAGCAGCACCCGTCGATCGATCAACAGTCCTTGGACGAGTGGACGGACCAACCTTCAGACGCTTGCCTGCCTGCCTGCCTGCTGCACTGGGAGCAAAGCACTGAATGAAGTTCTCGAGTCCAAAGCCAGAAACTTATGTCCTGCTGCAGATGCCAAACAGGGTGCGAACGCCATCACGCCTGGATCGGCAGCACATGAGCCGCAGATCTGGGCTCGTTTGGTGTGCTCTGGTATGGGAGCTCGGGTGGTCAAATCCGGTCTCCTCTGCTCCCTGACTCGGGCTCACGAACTCCGGCCAGCTCCAGCTCCAGCTCCATAGTCCAGAGTCCAGGTCCTGCTGAAGGGAACAGCACCGCCCGCCGGCACGCACGCTCGCTCGCTCGCTCGCTCGGATTCCTCATTCCTGATTCTCCTTCCCACGACGTGACGGACGGACCGGCTGACTAGTCGCGACGCGCGTATTGGGCAACGGCCCTCGGTTACTCAGAGCTCGAGCTCCGTCCGTCGTCTTCGTCTTGGCAACGGCGTCCTCGGCAAAACACGTCTTTTGCATGGGCTGCCTTTCAGCGAATCAGCTCACTGCAGTTGCTTCTTCCCATTTTTGGCTTTTTTTTTCCCCTACTGTGGAAGCCAACTGAATGCAATAATTTAATGTACAGAACTGTGGGGGTTTAAAAAAATAAATTACTGCTGTATAGGCCTGGCATCTACTGCATTCCAGCCTCGGCTCTAGGCTCTACTCTCTAGTCTCGTCTCTCGATTACAGACCCAGAAAGAGATTAAATACCAGAGGTCGATATCGGAAATAACCATCGGTAACCCAAGAAATAACATATAATAATAATCATAAACATATCCACTTTGAAATTATCCCTCTTGGTAGGCCAATTTTTGGATTGTGTAAGGAGATTTCGTAATGACTGAAGATTCCAATAGACCATAGAAAATTATAGGCCATATAATAACTTAGCAGAAACGATGGGAAGAAGCTATTAGGCCAGATGAAACCAAACATGTAACATGGGGCTAGGTCCAGATAGCATAACATTGGAAAACATGTCTTGCTATTATATAAGTCAAGGGGTTTACGAACTATAGAGCAACCCAAGAAACAGCAAGCTCTACCTGGAGCACTGGAAGATGGTTTCTATTAAATAATGGCAACAAGTTGACTAAAATAGACTATAAATAAGCCCAGAAAAGTGATATTTCATGTTTCCTTGTATTACAGCTTGTCATTTAGCCACTCACTGCATTTGTAAAAACCGGCGTGGATAACTCCATTGAACTTCAACGCTAGAGTAACAAAGAAGCAACTTCCTTAAATATCCTTATGCTTGGCAATTTTGGCGGATGATGCTTGATTTATCTTCCATCAAGGAAGATAAATCAAGCATGAGTATCACTTTTAGAGAGATTTGCTTGATGGGATCCCTACAGAAATTAATTCCCTTGATGGGTACCTTCAGGTTTCGATTTACCCGATGGGACCCAAGGACCGTGTGCGTCGGCCATGGTTCTTGTAACTATGATTGATAGTTACAGTGCGGGGATTACAATCAGAAATCAATACCGGATTATAATTTCTGGTGTACTATCAGGGGGACAAAGATCGATTTTGCTTGAAGAGCAATTTGTTGTGCTTCAATTCTCCCGATCGCACCAATTCGCCGAACTCTCTGCTGCCTCCGCCGGCACCCTCCTTCCGTAACCCTGCGTATGCGACGAGGAGCTCGTACCGGGAAATGGTCCGAGCTCAAGTCTCGCGGATACAGAATGACAAAATAATAACAAGGGAGTGTGATGGAGGGCGAAATCCATTCTCTCCGAGGGCGTGGTTGACTCGTTCACTTTCTAAAACTCAATTTGTTATTAAAACATGGGTGACGGTGCATCGTTCATGGAGTCCCATCGGTTAAAACGAAACCTAAAGGATCCCATCAAGCAAATTCCTTTCTGTAGGGGTACCATCAAGCAAATCTCTGATCACTTTTATGATCAAAACCCCCGTGTTTTCAACATTAACATGGTATTCTCTAACTAAATGTAGATATGTCCTAACCCTGTCCAATTACAAAGCATACCAACTCTATGATACCATCTTATTTATAGATCCTCGTGTGTCATAACAAACATAACAATCCTACAATCAATGGAGGTTGAAAGTTAGGATTTCCCAACTCTTAATAGATATATGTATTTATGTTAAGTAAAAGGGGATTGATTGACAAAGGCAAGATATAATCAAGTAGTCTAACAAAATTTATTTGGAGTGTCAAAAGGTAATGATTGAGTGAAGATCTACGAATATGCACTTTTATGAAAAAGAAAAATGAAAAAGAAACTTACTTTTGTAATATGAATTGGAGTATTGACATGGTAAAGGTATTATTTTTCATTATGTAAAATCAATAAGGTAAAATGTGGTTAAAGGTAGATGTCTTGTACCAAGTTTATATTCAATCAGGTTGTGAACTTTTTACGAAATTCAAACTTTTCAACTCCTGCCATATTGGTTGTGTGATTTTTCTATATTGAGTTTGTTTGTGTAGTCATTTTAACTCCTCTAGCAACGCTGTGTTGGGGGACTTAAATCACATCCCAAAGTTAGGATGCGGCAATATCTTTTCTTCCACTCAAGCACTGACCATTTAATTGTGGAAGTCCTCAAACTGATGATTTCTTTATCTATGCCCATGCATGTATAGAATTCTAACTCGAACGGCAAATGACGTGAGTTATATATTTTTTGTTCCGATAGAGTTAACATGTGCATTATACAAGAAGAACAGATACATTAAGCTGATTCTCATTCACGTAGGCATCTCATATTTATGCTTGCTCTCCATGTACTTCATCTAGTTTGTGTCTGTCCCGTTCGTTCATGGGTCTACCATGTTTTAACTTGTGAGACCCATGAACTAGAATTTTTACAAAACTTAGAGTCTAGATATGAAGGTTAGCAAAGCTGTTAATCTGACAACGCAATTTGTACTTCTTAAAACATCAATTTAGTTCTTTCTGAAGATCTCATAGGTATCTTTATCAAGTTGGAGGGTTTACCCTTCTATGAAGAATGTAAAGTAAACGTTAAAACTCTGAAGCAAAGTGAGACTTTGTCCATACGGTGGAGATTTTGCAGTCTAGCATGACAATTTGACTAAGCCTTTTTGCGTAATGGTGACGGTCCTGCATCCTACAAAGATAAACCTATTACTTTTTATCCGTCATTTCGTCATGAACAAATTGGGCTTGGGTCCTTCTCCTCCATCACGAGCCTAGACCACACGACCTGATCAAGGACTTTTGGATCCGTGCAAAGTCTCTCGATGTGACCGATCTCATCTCCGTCGGCCCTTCAATCTTACCTTAATTGTCTTACAATATCGCTACGGTCTACTTCTTTCCTTGGATTAATACAATTGAATTACAAACTTCCCATACACATAGAGGCCCCTTTGTTGTTCATTTTGGCATAATTTTTTTTTAATATACATTAGAAGTTGTTTATCTTCCATGCTGTCAAACCCAGTGTACGGCAACACCGTACAGGATAATTATCCTACAGCCAGATTCTCAATATTAACGTGCACTGTTGCAAGCTTATTAAAACCAACGTATGTAATATTGACATCTACGAAGAAACTGAGATCAAATCAAAATTATATCATTCGAGCTCACTAGGTGACATTTATTAGGCAAAATATATATTTAATTTAGTACTGTACTAAATTTGGACACTTGATGTGTTTTTATTGTGTGAAGGTAGAGTTTTCACTTTATTAGAAGTAAATATTGTATGAAAATATTATATATACAGTGATACTTTCCATATCAATTCATATATAAAACATCAAACAAGACATACAAAAATTTAATATATGTAACATGAAAATGAATGATTGAACACATAAATTTCATAAAGAATCCACTCATTTTGTACTTGTTAGTCTTGGCAATGAACCTTTACAAATTTTTTAGATATCTACTTCAGCACTTTTCATACTTTAAAACATTAGTATCAAGACTTGCTCCATATACATTTCATGACACTGAAATAAATAAATTCAAATTTTTTTAGTATGAAAGATCCACTCAACTTGATAACTGATTCTTTTATAATGATCAAAGCTTTATCAACATGTGAAATTATATCCAATTTTTTTTCAAATCATTAAAATAACTTAACGTATTTTATATTCAACTTAAAACCATATACAAAAAATTCATCACAATTTGCATCATAATTTTATTGAGCAAAAGATTAAGTTCTAAAATAGTTTTTCAACTCTTCTTACATGGATATAGTTGAAGAATTATATAAGATTTAAAAATTCCTTGTTTATTTTGATCAAAAAAATGTGTCTCATGTTCAAATTTTTAAATCAAATAATAAACAAAAAACCAAAATGTTATATATGACGTTCTTTCTGGCATGATTGTTGTTCTACCTCACATGATTGTTGTTCTACGCTTGTTAATAGGCAATGATGTTTTAAAAAAATTAATATATTTTTTAGATTGTTATAAATTAGGTTCTGCTGTTATAAAATAACTGAAATAACTGTCTAAACCAAAGAACACAAGTTTTAAGATTAATCCTTGCACATTTTCCTACTAACACGACATTCCTCGTAAACATAGCTCCATATAACTAAAAGAATAATTCTTTAGCAGATCTATGCATTTGGAGGCTTGCATTTTGTGTGTGTATCCATCGTAAAGTCATAAATAGTGATAATAATTTCTCAAGGAATCAAATTGAAAAAATCACAATTTTGAATTTACTCAACGGATTGTTTACTATCATTGTATATATAAAACAATTTGATAATTTTTTCCGAATTATGATTACTTTAATCATAGTCGATTGCAACTAATATTAATACTATTTTTTGGTGCTATTTATAGATACTGACCAGTTGAAGAATATTATATTGAAATATGAAGAACCTATTGTCTCAATCGTGAAGAAAAGGATCTTAACCTCTACTTAGAACTTACATTAGTGGCGACTACAAATTACTCCCATAAAAAAGTGAACTTGCTGACGTTCTGAGATATTCGATATTCTTGAGACGAAGTCAATCAGAACTACGTTGTGCGAACTTCAAGACAACGTCTTCGAGCTGCTAATTTAGAAGCCTACATAAAAGGCTTAAGTCTCAAGATCTCAAGTGACAACATACTAGTAGACATGAAAAAATATGTGACGGCTAGTTGACTCAGCAAATGATTAGTGAGCAAGTACTGTACAGCAACATGCCAATAAACAACAACAACA